CAAGAAAGAACTGAAAGCTTGGGTTCATGTTTTTGCTGCAAGGACTTCTCTTTAATATGAATATATTGTATACCACATCTTACTGACTCTAAAGAAATAGCATGAGCTTTATGTACATTACATTTATATTATCATCTATGCCGAGATAGAATTTATACCTGGAAATATAAGATATGCTGATACCTTGGATTTTTTCTATAATTTTTAACTAAATTTACTGCCTCTTGGAATTATATATAGATAGTAAAAATAAAATTGAATTTCTTCAACATAAAATATTATGTAGGTCTTAGAATAGACACATCTAATATCAAAGTTTAAGATGATATACCATCCTTGTCTAGTTTCAGATATCTAAAATTATATTCCTTTCACTGAGTAATGTGGCGATTTTATTCTAAAGGTCAAAACTCCTGTTACTTTACTCTTTTAAATAGGCTCTTCCAGGGCAACAGTGTACCTTACACTAAACAGTGGAACTCTTGGTTCTTAGAGTGTGGGTACATTCCAGACATCAAGAATAAAAGAGATCTCAGCTATCATCATTTGACATGGAACAGAAATAAAAGATAAAATATAGAAGGAAGGAGTATAAAATCCTGAAGAGACACCTAAAATATTTTGAATTCTTATCTTTATCATTTAACAGTAGGAAGGAAATGCTTGCAAAAACCAAGGACACATAGAGCAAGAGTAGTTAGGTATGAAATATGATTATAATATGGTAATTTTAATAATCATACATCATATAAAGCTGAAATAATCATATCAGAATATGTGTGAGACCTGAGGAGGAAACTACAAGAGAAATAAAATTGGACTTGGCAAAGAAATTCTCAAGTTTATCTGGAAGGGTAAATAGGTAAAGCTTAATAAAGTTAGGTAAAGAATAAATAGGAAGGTTTAACGAAGAATAATATGAAAGAAAACTTTCCCAACCAAATATTGATTTATGTATTTTTTATTGAAATATTGTTAATATACAATTTTATATTGATTTCAAGTATACAACACAGTGATTCAGCAGTTACCTGTGTTATTAAATCCTCACCTGCACTAGTACAGTTACTGTGAACATAGGAAGAAATTACAGAATCATTGGCTTTATTCTCCATCCTGTACCACCATCCCCATGACCAACGTATATTATGATTGAGAATTTTTATGCCCTTTTATCCCCCTCACACTCCTCATCCACACAACCCAACCCCTCCCTAATAGTAAACATGAGTCACTTCTCAGTGTCTACGAGTCTACTACTAGTTTATTCATTTTGTTTTATGTTGTTTTTAGATTCCACAAATAAGTGAAATCATGGTATTTGTCTTTCTCCATCTGGCTTATTTCACTTAGCATAAAACCCTCTAGGTCCATCCATGTTGTTGCAAATGGCAGGATTTCTTTCTTTGTTATGGCTGAATAATATTCCATTGTGTATATATCCAACATCTGCTTTATCCATTCATCTATTGATGGGCACTTTGATTGCTGCAATATCTTGGCTACTATAAATAGTACAGCAATAAACATGGGGTGCATACATCTTTCTGAATCATGGCTTTTGTTTTCTTTGGGTAAATTCCTAGAAGTGGAATTAATGGGTCATATGGTATTTTTATATTTAGTTTGAGGAACCTGCATACTGCTTTCCATAGTGGCTGTACCAATTTACATTCCCACCAACAATGTAGGAGGGTTCCCTTTTCTCCACATCCTTGCCAGCACTTGTTATTTCTTTTCTTTTGGATTGTGGCCATTCTGACTGGTGTGAGGTGATAGCTCACTGTGGTTTTGATTTGCATTTCCTTGATGATTAGTAATATGAAGCATCTTTTCATGTGCTTGTTGGCCATTGTATTTCTTCTTTGTGAAATAACTGTTCAGAACCTCTGCCCATTTTTTAACCAGGTTATTTGTTTTTTTTGGTACTGAGGTATATGAGTTATTTTTATATTTTGGTTAACCCCTTATTGAATAAATCATTTATGAATACATTCTCCCACACTGTAAGTTTCCTTTTTGTTCTGTTGATGGTGTCCTTTGCTGTACAGAAGCTTTTTATTTGATGTAGACCCAATTGTTCATTTTTTATTTTGTTTCCCTTGCCTGAGGAGATGTGTCAAGGAAAAAATTGCTCATACTTACATTCAAGAGATTTTTGCCTATGTTTTCTTCTAAGAGTTTTATGGTTTCATCTTTTACACTTAAGTCTTTAACCCATGTCAAATTTAGTTTTGTGCGTGGAGTTAGAATAGTAATCCAGTTTTATTCTCTTGCATGTATCTGTCCAGTTTTCTTAACACCAGTTATTGAAGAGACTCTCTTTTCCCCATTGTATATTCATGGCTCCTTTATCATATATTAATTGACCAGTTACGTGTGGGTTTATACCTGGGCTCTCTATTCTGTTCCTTTGGTCTATGGGTCTGTTCTTATGCTAGTACCACACATTTTGATTACTGTAGCTTTGTAGTATAGCTTGAAGTCAGGGAGCATAATCACCCATAGCTTTATTCTTCCTTCTCAGGATTACTTTGGCTATTCAGGGTTTTTTGTGGTTCCATGTGAATTTTAGGATTATTTGCTCTAGTTTATTGAAAAATGCTCTTGGTATTTTGATAGGGATTGAATTGAATCTGTAAGTTGCTCTGGGAAGGATGGGCATTTTGAGATAGATTTCCATTTATGTTTGTCTTCTTTAATTTCTCTCATGAGTATCTTATAGTTTTTAGAATACAGGTCTTTCACCTCCTTAGTTAGGTTTATTCCTAGGTATTTCATTCTTTTTAATGCAATTGTAAATGGAATTGTTTCCTGATTTTTCTTTCTGCTAGTTCTTTGTTAGTATATAGGAATGCAACAGATTTCTATATATTAATTTTGTGTCCTGCAACTTTGCTGAATCCAATTATTTAGTTCTAATAGTTTTTTGGTGTAGTCTTTAGAGTTTTCTATATGTAATATGTCATCTGCAAATTGGACAGTTTTACTTATTCCTTACCACTTTGAATTCCTTTTATCTCTTCATCTTGTCTGATTGCCATGGCTGGAACCTCCAGTACTATGTTGAATAAAAGTGGTGATAGTGGGCATCCTTTTCTTGTTCCTGATCTTAGAGGAGAAACTTTCAGCTTTCCACTATTTAGTATGATGTTAGCTGTGGGTTTGTCGTATATACCCTTTATTGTATCGAGGTATGTTCCCTCTGTACCAATTTTGTTGAGAGTTTTTATCTTGAATGGATGTTGAACTTTGTCAAATACTTTTTCAGCATCTGTTGAGATGATCATATCATTTTTATCCTTTTGTCAATGTGGTGTATCACATTGAATGATTTACAAATATTGTGCCATCATTGCATCCCTGGAATAATTAAATCCCACTTGGTCATAATGGATGCTCCTTTTCATGTACTTTTGAATTCAGTTTGCTAATATTTTTGTTGACAATTTTTGCATCTATGTTCATCAGGGATATTGATCTAAAACTTTCTTTTTTTGTAGCATCTGTGTCTAGTTTGGTATTAGAGTGATGCTGACCTCATACAATGAGTTTGGAAGTATTCCCTCCCTTTCTACTTTCAGAATTTATTGAGGCTTTTTTTGTGGCCTAGTATGTGATCTGTTCCAGAGAACATTCCATGTACACTTGAGAAAAATGTGTATCCTGCTGCTTTTGGGTGGAATGTTCTGTAGATATCTGTTAAGTCCATCTAATCTAATGTGTTATTTAGTGCCTGTTTCGTTATTTACTTTCTGTCTATTTGGTCTGGCTATTGATGTTAATGATGTGTTAGGGTTCCCTAATATGAATGAGTTGCAGTCTATATCCCCTTTAATTCTGTTAGTATTTGTTTTACATGTTTAGGTGCTTTTATGTTGGGTGCATAGATATTTATAATTGTTATATTTTCTTGTTGGGCTGATCCCTTAATCATTATATAATGTCCTTCTTGTCTCTTGTTACTTTCTTTGTCTTAAAATCTATTTTGATTTGAGTCATATTTTAAATATAGTATCTCATTGGAGTAGGCTGATGAATGTGATAATATAGACCTATACATAGGCATTTTTATATGTAGGATTTATTTTGATAAAATTATGAGTAATATAACACTTTGGGACTTTATAGCCTCATAAGCTATAGGATCTTAGAACATTTTGCAAAGTGTGCTCTATTGAACACTATGATAATGGATGTCAAAGTTAAAAGTGTCCATAGTTTAGTTAGCCTGGGAATTTTGGGGCTGAAATAGTGTTTTTACAAGACCTCTTTTAAATAATAATGTGTTCTACAAATCAAGAGGTATGTTTTTTAAACACAGAATGAAACCAAATCAGAACATCTTGCAGGACTTAACTTCTCTGGGGCAAACTCTAGAGAACATTGTGTTAGAAATTCAGTTTTGTTGCTTTGCCTCCCACTGGACTCCAAAATGTCAGTTATGTCTAAAATGTGAAATCATGGAAAGGAGTGGAAGTTTATCACATCTCTTAAGAGAAAGATGTCTCCATAAAGGATGTTAAAAAGGGAAATTCTGGCATACTGGCTTAAATGGAGAAATTAAGGAATGACAAAATAAGCAAAATTAAAAGGTTTGGAAGGAAATGCCTACAAAGATGATCAACAGAGGGACTACATTACAAATTTATTTTAAATGAGGGCATGTAGGCTCTTACAAATAAATAGAAAATGGACACAGTTCACTAGAAAGGAACTATAAGTAGTACATAAACATGGAAAATGCTTTCAACATCAATAATCAAATATCATATGGAATTGCAGTTTGATCTGTGTATTATTCACAAGTCGATTTTCTTCCTCCTACTTAGTATATACACTTTATAAATGCTCTTTAAGAAAACCTATATGAAGGAGCAAGAAAAATCTTTTTTAAGAGTTACCATGATATATATGCAAATTAAATATCTCCTCCACTCTGCCAACCATAATACTCATTTTGCAATTAGGCATTTCATATTCTCTCTTTCATTTCCTAGTTCCCATTCTGTGATGGAGCTCACACAAAACACAATGAAGAAACTGGAGACAACGTGGGACCTCTGATCATTAAGAAAAAAGAAACTTAAGTGGACAGTTTTGATGCTGCAAACCAGCTTGTCATGATGTTACCTGATTGTTTAGTTAGAATGATTACCACTTCTGTCTGATTCACCTCCCCTGGGTTCTAGATGTGGTATACGGCAAACTGCAGCTTTCATATTCACAGCATTTGCCTTACTTGTTGAACCATTGTGGTGCACATTTGTTAAAAAAAAAAAAAAACAGAAAAAGTAAAAACCAACCTCATGGCCTGTGCGTTATTTTGGTCGTAAAAGGATCCGTTTCTTTACATTTAAAATAATGACACTAGAATACAGTTGGATGTTGAAGTTAATGTATTATTATCAAAATCATGTATATGTAGATTGTTTTAAGTTTCAAAGAAAAATTATCACCTTATAATATTACAGTTAACCTAAAAAGAAAGTCAGTGTAATTAAGCTACATTAATCACTTAATGCAATATAGGAAAAACCTGTTATGACCTTGATTTTCTTGACAGTAGTAATGACACTGAGAAAATCTAACTTCTGGGTTTTCACAGTTTTCAACCAAATAAAGTTTGAATGTTATTCTTCTTACTTATAAGTGGACAAAGTCAATAATAAAGAGATAGTAACTTCTTTGTATTCATCTTCCTGGACATCAGATCGATTGATTAAAAGAACCAATACTGGAAATTACAGATCAAAGTGATATTAGATTTAAAGTAGTCATGAAGGAAGTCTTAAAATGTAATATTCAGAATTCTAGCCTAGGGACATTGAAGCAGAAAGCCACATGTCCATGACAAATAGTAGCCATTGGACCAAAGGCATGGGGAGATTTTTATTTCCCACTTTCAGTAATCAGGCATGTGACTAATTCTAGCAAAGAAACTATTTGGGGGAGAAAATAGAAATTAGATCGTCCTTTAAATTATATAATCTTTTTCTTAAAAGCTAAATTTGAAGTGTTTATATAATTTCAAAAACTCAGACCAGAAACATTGCATTCCTTACTGATTCAGAAAAAAGTGTGAAAACTGAAAATAATGAGGAGCAATAAAATAATTAAGACAGAAGTAGTAAATATATATTTTTTAAAGCTTAGTTTTTTGGATTTTATGAGTTAGGAGAAAAATTATGACTCTCTCTCTCTATATATATATAGGAGCAATTTGAAATTGACAAAGGTAACAGGTAAACATTCTCATCATTTCCTTTAGTATATACTTGAATTTCTCAGTAGTAGTTAATCACAAGTTTCTACTTGCCAAGATCCAGAATTACCTTGGAAGTCACAGGGATAAATGAAAACTACAGCATTCCTTTATTGTGTGTGATTGCTCATATTAAGTGTATAGTTTTGTGTATTACAGTAGATAAAGTTGATACCAAAACTATGTCTACTGGTTTTAAGTAGCCCATGAGACTCAGCCATGTGTTTAAAACTATACAAAACCTGATTCTACTTACCAGATTCCTAAGGTGAATATTTTCCATGCCCTTTCCCCCTTTTAAAAATAATTATGAATGGGACAGCAAAAGAGAGCATTATGCTTTTAAAGGTTAATTGTTTTAAAGAAAAATCCATGAACTCCTAAAGTTTCTGATAAAGAGACATCCTTTTAGCAAACTAAATGAACTTAATTTTGAATTTGTTATTATTAGCCATGCATTTTTATAGCTAGTGGAGGGGGAAAGAAAAGTGCCAATTCAAAACTATCTTTGAAATGTGTAAGAGTGTATGGGTTTGCATATTTTGATGAATCTGGAAATGATCACCTAACTGAAATGCAACGTACTGTAGCATTTTTGATAGTCAAATAATTAGATAAATGTTTTCCCTGGGTCATGTTAAAATTGTATTACATGCTTTTGAACTATATTTCCTTCAAGATACTCAAACTTTTTCATGTTACTTTAATTAACCTAAAAAGTAAAGTGGGTATACTTACATTAATGTAAGATGTTTTTATAAAAATCAGTGTGTGTGATTCCTGTACCATTTAAGCACACTGAAGCTTCTAAAAGACTTTTTCATTTGAGAAATTGGATAAGTGGGGTGCTGCTATACCACCACCATCTTTTTTTCTCTATATCATTTATGTTCCACTGATACCTGCAATAAGATTTTGTGCAACCTTAGAAGTTTCTAATGTTATGAAGAAATTTCTTTTATCATGATTTAGGGTGACATTCGTCTGTTCATGCAACAGACATTTATTAAGCATCTTCCATAGATCATGTAATTGAGAATGGAACATTTTGAAGACTTAAAAGTTCATAGATTAGATTGTATCACTTATAACATAGGTCATATAATTATAATTTATGATTTGGGATTATTTTTCTTGAGAAATTACAACAGGTATACATGTAAACCAAGTGTTTCCACTACAAAGTAGGTGTGTTTATTTGATTTTACATTAGTTATGAGGATTTTACTTTTAAGATAATTAAGGTTCCTAATTAGCAACATGTTTAGTGCTTGGGTATCTGTGAGGGTGTATTACTCTACTTGTAGTCAGAAACTATGCTTTCTCTCCCAGATTTGAACACTTACTGATTTCAAGGCAAAGCCACTCACCTCTCAGCCATCGAATTGAAGTGGATGGAATAAATGGCATTTTAGGCTTAATCCAAAATGTTAGACCAAGATTAAATTTTCAGCATCTACACAAAAAAAAAAATAGGTTATCAACTCAAATTTATTTTAAGGTCATTCCAACTTTTGTGGCATTGAAGTACCATTTATGAACTGTTGATAGTAGTAATAGTTGCTTTATCCTCACCTAGCAAAATAAAAAGTTGGCAGCTCTACATTGGTCCCCACTTTTTTTTTTTTAACTGCTCCAAGAAGTCTAAAAGTCAGAACCACAAAGCCAAAGTCCTATCTAAAGTTGGGATTTACTGATTATTAGGATATTAAAACAATAGTTTTATTGATTTTGATATTTAGTTTATGTTTGAAATTTTTCATATATAATTGTTACCACAATGCATTGAGGCTTCATGCAAAGTTAGTGTAAAAAAGATGGTTTCTATTTCCATTCAGTTTACCATCCCAGATCCAAACTACAGAGTAATGCCAATCCATCCTAATCCCATCACAACCTATAACTTTAAAGATTAAGTAAAATATACAGGAGATTTGCAAAGGATGGTTGTTAACTGAGCATCTACCTTTATTGAGAAAAGTCTATTTTTTATGTGCTTGACTTCATAAACAAAAGCTGCATATATTAACAAGTTGTCAGGAATCATGACAAAGGGGAAAAACTGGGAATAAGGTTCTGGTCGGTAGTAAATCAGTGAATATAATCAATATTATAAATTAGGAGTACTGATACAGTGTTACCCCTAAGGCTCTAAACAAAAAAGGCAGTTCAACCTCAAACGCGGAACAGAGGAGTGCTGAGCTAAGAATGCTGTCAGTTAGGCATTGTGTAAACTAGGCCGTCTTCACAAATTTCAGTAACACCTGTGTCTTTGAGGTTAGTCTGGTTTTTTTCCAGCTCTTCCAACTTGTCTTTTAGAGATATACAGAAATCAATTTCTGTCAAGATGTGGTTCTTCAGGTGTTATTTCAAAAGTTGTTTCCATTTATGAGTATACAGAGTTGTATAGGTTCCCAGATTTATGTTTAAAATAATTTTGAATATTACCCACCTGCCTACATGCTCATTACTGTGAGATAAATTATTTTTTGCTAGCAATACAGCCTGCCAACGTTTTCCTTATTGGGGTTAGGCAATGCCTCATCTAACTCCATACACATCATAGAAATGAGAGATGATATCTGTTCAGGTTCTGTTGTTCATTAAACTTAGTTAAATCTGTTAAGTTTATTTCAAAATCTCTGAACTATGAAAGGTAAAATTACATTTATGTACTCCTATCTCTATATGACAATCCTTTTTCTTTATCCTAAACTTTCTTGAAACCGGCTACCTCCCTTCATTCCAGACAGTGAGGCTGTGTGTTCACCTTAATATGATTTTATACTTTTACATTTTCTCAGCCTTCATCTTTTCAACTTGCAGTCTGCCCTGTAGGCATCATGTGAGTATTTTCCTTTCCTCTTCATCTCTGCATTCCATCCAATGAAGACCATTTTGATCATCACTTAAAGCATCTGCATCCCTTTTATTTTTAAATATTAGGATCCATCAGGAACTGCTTCTAGTAAAGAAGCTGAAATAACTTTGACTTTCTATTGCTGGTTGCTTCCCTGACCCTGGACGCCACCTAGTGTAGAGTCTCTGATGATGAAAATATTAAACCATAAACTACAGTTCTCAATCTAACAATACCATCCAGTATATACACTTGAGGTAAGTCCCTGACGCTGAAGTACCATTGTATCCCCAGAAGTCTGGCCACTTGCTGTCATTTCTGTGACCTATGCTTTTGGCATCTTGTTGGCTAAGTCATCATAATGCTACACAACTCACTTTTTAACCCCTGAAAAAATGGTCCAACTTTTGATCATTGCAATATACTCAGTACCCAAAGTAGTTATAAGCACATAGCAGGTGTTCAGTAAATACTTGTCTTAATAAATATTTGAATGTAATTTCAAAAGGTTGCGAAGGTAATAGCCAAAAGGTCAGTGTTTCTGTCTTGCTCTGCCCCCAAATCCTGATCTTTTTTTCAAATTTGCTCCTCTACATCCTGTATTACAGACTTATCAAACATGCCTATTAGGAAAGTTTACTGAATCTTATCTTGACAAGATTGGCCATAATTTAGTCTAACCAATATGTCTGTGCCTCAACTTGCATAAAAATCAACAAATAAATGCTACCACTAGCTAATTCAGCTTGTTTTAAGCCAGTATGCGTATCAGGCATCATAACTGGGGGAAAATGTATCACTGGGGCTATTTAAAATCTGTGGATGTTGCTTTGGGAGAGGAGAAAGCTGCTATGAAAAAGACCACAGGTTCTAGTGTTTGCCAACCTGGAAGGATTCCTGATTTTATTTATTATCTCTTTTGGGGCAGTGTGTGGACTGTACAACAATCACAGGCTTCTAAATCAGACTTAAGTTCAAATCCCTGCTCTGCCACTTGAGGAAATCATTTTCTGTGGGCCTCTCTGATGGTTAGTGTATATGTTAACTTGACTGGGCCAAAGAGTGCCCAGGTAGTCGGTCAAACGTTATTCTAGGTGTTCCTCTGGATATTACTCCACATATCTCTAACTAATATAGTCCCCTTTATTATTTTGTAAACATGTTAAGGGGAGTCAACCTCTCAAGAGGGGGTTAGAATTAGCAGATTTAAGCATCTACCATGGTATCTCACAAACTAGCTTGGCTTCTGTACTCTAAAATGTCCCCTGCCATAAGTAGTACAGAAAGAGAATTAGGGTTGTTTTCTACGTAGACAATAATATTTTAGCAGATTTAAGCATCTACCATGGTATCTCACAAACTAGCTTGGCTTCTGTACTCTAAAATGTCCCCTGCCATAAGTAGTACAGAAAGAGAATTAGGGTTGTTTTCTACGTAGACAATAATATAGATAAAGGTTGAACATTAGGTAGATTTACTTAACATTCCCAAGGTAATTTTCAAAAAAGGTCCTCAGTCTTTCTCCATGAGAGGAAAAAAGCAGTTTTAAAAAATGCATGGTCTTTCTATAGTAATTTTTGCAAATAATTATTGAGCACCCACTGTTGGCCAGGCTACACATAACAAGACTGAAACAATCCCTGCCCTTATGGAGTTCATGGACTCCCTACTCTTAGAAGGGGGATGGTTGGTGTCACTGACAAGTAATCAGGCTATTATTCATCAATATGATGAGACATGTGAGATGATGGTGATAAGTACAAAAACTAAGAGCAAGAGGGGAAAAATACAGTATCAGAGGTCAGGGTAGCAAGAGCTGAAGGAAGAATAAGTGAAGGGGAAACAAGGTGAGCAAGTTTCAAGTCTGGGAGACCATCTCAGAGTAGTCCACCTTGCGCTCTCTAGATGGCCTGGATCAGTTCTATCACTTTTATGCATGCAGTATAACTTCCTGTGGAAACAGCTCGTTAATAGTCTTTTCCCTGACTTTTAGTGTGCAAGATGAAATCCAGTTGTTAACCCAGACTCATCAGGTGAAAGCAGGACAAAGTCAGGATTAAACCCAAGTAGAAAAGGCTGGCCCTTACTGCTTTAGGCATAAAGATCTTGTATCTTAAAGGTCGTATATTCAACCTTGATCACTTCACCAGACAGCCCAAGAAGTTAAATAAATGATACTATGTATTTTCATCATTGGCTAATGATGCTGCTTTAGCATATCAAAAGCTGTAGGCGTTATTACAACTCATAGCCATGGCCATTGCAGTTCAAAGAAACCAATTTCTTGATTAAAAACTACAGTTTGGTTAGAATCATAGTCAACCAATTATAGTTGGTTTGAGGATAAATTGCTTTAATTGTTAGACCCTTTGTTTAATCTGAAGACCTAGAACAAGAAACTGGAAAAGAACTGAATAAAAAACACCCCACACAAAGGTGATGAGATTGAAAATTTAAACTTGTATTTCCCAAATATGGGAAATAACCCAAACATTCCTACATTTTTCTCTTCATGTCTTTCAGCCTCTGTTAATAATCTGCTCTCTTCATAGGGTGAAAACCTACTGAGAAAGACAAGGTTCTAAAGTCTCATGTACTTGTTCACCACAAGGGGGAGTCCTGGCCACACCTTTCTATAGCAAAGTAAAGGTAGAGGGAAGCAAAATCTTTGTGAAAGTTTCTCCTAACATTAACAAGATTTGAAAAACTGCTGTACTGTTGACTAATGGGAGAATACCACTTGATTTCCAAGAAGCAGTTTCAACCAGCTAAATTTTATTAGTGTCCTGAGAAAAAAAAAGGAGAATGTAAACCCTTAGGGCAGAATCAAACTCCAGAGAGTAAGCAGGTCAAAGTAAGAGAATCTCAGACTGTTCCTTATGA